CTCAGGCAATCCACTCACCTCAGCCTCCCAAAGGCGCGGGATTACAGGCTGAGCCACGGAGCCTGACCTATCTTGAAGGTTTTCTTGAGGGACTCTGAACAGAGACCTGGGGAACAAGGAAGGAGAAGAAATAAGGGAAGGAAAAGGTGTACCCGGCTGAGGGAACAGTATGTGTCAAGGCTGGGAAGGGCCAGATAGGGTAACACAGGAAGTGCATGTGGGCTCTCCGGCTAGAGCCCAGAACCAGAGGTGAGGATGGGGCTGTGTGTGTGGACAGGGCCGCTGTGCAGGGGATGAACAGAAGGTCAGCTGGAAGGCTGGGGGCCCAGGGCAGAGGCTGGAACAGGTGTCTGGGGGGCGCACAGAGGGCGCATGGTGAGATGCTCATGAGGCTGACAGGAGCTGGGGAGCACGCAGGACGAGCCTCAGCCTTCCCTGCGATGGGAATAGGGTAGAGCAGCAAATGTGGAGAGGATCCCTGGGCCGGTTGGGGACCCATGGTGGGGGTGTGGGGCCTGGGATGGCCAGGAGGCTGCTAGATCCCTGGGACTGGAACTCAAGAGAAAAGCAGTAAGGAGATGCTAAGGATTGGGGGTGGCCCTTGGAGGGGCAGGAACGGAAGCCACAGTGTTGGGGACTGTACCCGGAGAGGGTGAGGGAGAGGGTGACCCTTCTTCCTTGCACCCTTCAGGGTGTGCTCCGTGCGCTCGGTGGATGGCTCCCCCACGACGGCCTTCACGGTGCTGGAATGTGAGGGCTCCCGGTGGCTCGGCTCTCGGCCCCGGCGCTACCTGCTCACCGGCCAGGCCAACGGCAGCCTAGCCATGTGGGACCTGACCACTGCCATGGACGGCCTCGGCCAGGCCCCTGGTATTCCCTGCCTCACCTCAGTCCCGTCCCTAGCCCCGTAGACTCACCCTGAATCACTCCACAGCCAACTTCATCATGATCTCTTCCCAAGCCCTTTCCCTCTGACCCTCCCTCTCCCTTTTTTTTTTTTTTTTTTTTTTGGTTGGGATCTCACTCTGTTGCCCAGGTTGGAGTACAGGTGGCATAATCCCAGCTCACCACCGCCTGAACCTCTTGGGCTCAGATGATCCTCCCGCCTAAGCCTCCTGAGTAGATGGGACTACAGGAGTGTGCCAGCACACCCAGCTAATTTAAAAATTTTCTGTAGAGACGAGGTCTCGCTATGTTGCCCAGACTGGTCTTGAACTCCTGTGCTCAGGTGATCCTCCCACCTTGGCCTCCCGAAGTGCTGGGGCTACAGGTGTATGCCACTGCGCCTGACCCCTTTGACCTCCTTTGACCCCTTTCTCTGCCCCGCCATCCCTCCTTGCCCTCATCTTTCTTTCTTTTGTTTTGTTTTTTTTTGAGTCGGAGTCTCAGTTGCCTAGACTGGAGTGCAGTGGTCGCTCCTGGCCACCGCAGCCTCGACCTGCTGGGCTCCTGGGCTCCGGCGATCCTTCCGAGTAGCCGGAATTACAGGCATACGCTACCATGCCCGGCTGATTTTTTGATTGATTGTAGAGATGAGGTCTCGCTGCCCAGGCGGGTCTCGAACCCGCGGGCTCAGGCAATCCACTCATCTCAGCCTCCCAAAGGCGCGGGATGACAGGCTGAGCCACAGAGCCCAGCAGCCCTCATCTTTCAACCCTTCTCTCAGCCCCTGACACCCCATGCATTGATCTCTGCAAACTTTCTCCCGTCCCAACTCTTGATGCTTGTGCTGTGACTCCTGTCCCGTGCCCCCTGACCCTGCTTCCTTGCCCCCCAGCAGGTGGCCTGACAGAGGAAGAGCTGATGGAACAGCTGGAGCAGTGTGAGCTGGCCCCACCGGCCCCCTGGAGGGGCTCTCTCCCCAGCCCCTCCCCCCGCACCTCTCTCACCAGGTAGCCGCCCCTCTGCTTCTCCTGTGTGATGGGGGGAGGGGACAGCATATTGGCCTTGGGGGCAGGGTGGCCCAGCCACCCTGTGATGGCCTGCACTGACCTTCCCGCCCTCCCAGTCTCCATTCAGCCTCCAGCAACGCCTCCCTGTCTGGCTGCCATGGGAGCCCTAGCCCGCCGCAGGCTGAGGCCCGGCGCAGTGGAGGAGGCAGCTTCGTGGAACGCTGCCAGGAACTGGTGCGGAGTGGGCCGGAGCCCCGACGGCCACCAACACCAGCCCCTCGGCCCTCCACGGGTCCCGGTGCTCCCCTCACACCTCCCAAGATGAAGCTCAATGAAACTTCCTTTTGAACACAGCTGCCATGGTGCCTTAGAATACCTTGGTCCTGGAGGACTCAGGTGTCCCCGTTTCCTGTTGGAGTCCTGGGTTCAGGGCCAGGGCCTCCTTAGTGTGGTCACTGTTACTAGGTTCCCACCTTCCCTTTTTTCTGGAAGCCAAAGTAACCCTCCCCAATAAAGTCCTCACTGCCAACACCTTGTTTGAATTCTCAGCAGGTTTTGGGAATCCCTGGGGAAGGGGTAGGGGAGATGTGAGAGCCAACCAGTTTCTTTGTTGTAAATTCTGGAACATCTGCCTCTCTTGATGTAGCAAAGAAGAAAATATATTGGCTTAAACTCTGGCTTCAGGCATGGCTGGATCCAGGGGTTCAAAAATCCAGAACATCTTTCCATCTCTCCACTTTGCATTTCTCTGGAATGCTTCATTCTCAGTCAGGTTTTCCCCTCTCTGTTGCCAGATGACTCCAGGCAGCTCCTTAGCAACATTTTTCTCTCCAGCAGCAGTAAAAAAAAAAAAAAAAAAATCACAGGACTGATTCTCATTGGCTTGAACTGAGTCAGATGGCCATTCCTGAACCAGTTACGATGGCCAGTGTGATGAAGGACTGCCATTGTTCCAGCCTGGGTCTTGTGCCCTCGCAAGCCAGGAGGTGAGGTCAGCCCCATGTGTACAGAGTGGAAGAGCAGTCCTAAAAAGAGAAGCAGGGGTCTGTTATCCCTAGCAGGGGTGAATGGCTCCAAGTAGGAGAAACAGACGGCAGCTAACTGCTTGCTGCATTCTTAACATTTTTACCCAGTCTTCACCACTGCACACCCCTGACCCAGCATCCCTGGTTGTGCACTCCCTTACTTTCCTGCCTAAACCTGAGAGGGTAGATGGGGCAGTCTCAGCTCACCCCAGCCTGACATCCTTGTGATTTTCCCCCCAGATACCGCCTGTTCTATGACACTTCCTCAGGGAGGTTTTCTGCATCTTTCCCTTGACCCAGTAACTAGGAGTAAAGGATATTAACATATGCTAATTCCAGAATTCCGTAGTTTCTGGAACATAGTGGAGAAGGGTCTAGAATGTAAGAGAATCTAGAACACAGGAATATTCTGGAGTGCCAGTGAATTGACAATATTAGGGCTCTCCCCTGCATATCAGAGAACCCAGACTAAAGTTTCTGACAAAACAACCTGGAAAGTCACTGATTCTAGAATAAGCGAGTATTAAGGGGATTCATACCTGTGAATCTCCACCAGTAGGAATACTTTGCATGCCAGGATATCTGGAATGTTGAGAATTCTAGACACAGAAAGGTATCTGGATTACTAGGAAATCTAGAGAATGGGAGATATTCTGGGCTGTCAGCCCTTCCAGAGAGCACTAGAGGTTTGCTGCATTCCAAGAAATCCATAATGGTGGAGGGTTCTGGAGGGTCAGAGAATCTAGAAACACAAATGGGAGGCTTAAAACATGAGTGATTCTGAAAGCTGGCAGTTCTAGAGTAGCTGTGAATCTCCAACTCTGGACATTTGTTTACATACCAGAATATTAGAATACTGGGAAATGTTTGAATATTAGGAATTATAAAATGTGAGGGGAGGGGCTGGAGTGTCAGGAAACCCCGAATAGGATGGATGGTGTTTTGTAATGCTAACAGATCTAGAATACTGAGGTTATTTTTTCCCCCAAGCCAGGAAATCCAGAACACTCGTGCTTCTAGAATGCTGGTAATTCTAGAAATGAGAGAGGTGGGGAGGGAGGAGGATGGGAAGAAAGAGATATCTGGAATGTTAGCAAATCTAGAACAGTGAAGAGCTAGGCTTTTTTTTTTGTTTTTTAAATACAAGGGAAAATACCGTGAGTAAGAGTAGGGGCGGGAAGTAGGGAGCTTCTGGAATGCCGGGAATCTAGAACTCTGAGATTCTGAAGGGTTGAGATCGGATTAGGATCCAAGGGATGACACAGACACGACCCTGGGAGACAGTGACACTGACAGGGACGGACTGCGAGCTAGCTAGACTTCAAATTCGGGGGGGAGGGGAAGTCAGCGCCGGAAGTTGCCGTGGTGAGCCAAAGGCTGTTGCCTAGCAACGAGCCTTGAAGATGCCCTGGATCCCAGACAGAAGGGAGAGATTTCGGCAGCGCCCCCCGCAAACGCTCCAGCCACAGGGTAGGAGGTGCGGAGGGGGGAAACGGGCAGGGGCACGCTGTCCCACAGGGTCATGTGAGAGGGACTTGGGGGGTCACACAAAGGCAGGAATGCACAGAGCACATTCAGGGGGCCGAAGAGGCCCCTCCGTCATCTCACGGGCAGCCCGCGAACGGCCGTGGATGCGGTGAGAGTGCCGTCGTGCCTGTGTATCCCTGGACGGTGTATCCGGTGTATCCCTGGACGGTGTATTCAGGGGCTGTGTATCCCTGGACGGTGGTGGGCCCAGATTCCTAGGTGTCTGTGCGGGTGGCTGTGGGTGGCAGTAACGGTGTGACTGTGGCGTGTGAATCCGC